GCCTCCTGGAAGCGTGGTGGGAAGAGTTAGGTTCTGGGATGGGGGGGGGTCTCACCTGACTCCGGGCCAGCGCTTCCTTATAGAACCGCAAGGCCTGGTCGTGCTGCCCCAGTCTGGCTGCTGCAGCTCCCAGCCCCTCGCAGGCCTGCCACTGCCCCTTCGTGTCCCCTGGGGAAGGGAGCCCGGGAGGTCCTCTCATGGGTCCCTGCACCACTGACCCTCCCTTCCAGAGGTCTCGCCACCAGTCCCCGGGACCCTCGGCCTGGCCCCCTTGCCAAGCCACCTGCTAGGCCCTCACCGGTGTCCCGGGCAGCCTGTAGGGCGTGCAGATAGCTGTCTCGGGCTGCTCTGTGGTCCCCCAGCTGGCTCAGTGCAAATGCTAGGCTGCCGAAGCTCCAGCCCTGCTCCCGCCGCTGCCCCACAGAGCCTGATGACAGAGGGGACCTTGGCTGCTGAGGCGTCCCCCAGCAACCAGGGCGGGCTCCCAGGAGTCCTGGCGCTTAGCCCCAGCACGCCTCCAGGTGCACCCCGGAGACCTCAGCTCTCAAAAACCAGCCTCTCCTCAGGCCTGAGTTTGGGCATGAACGCGTCTCCCCCACCCCCACCCCCGGCTGGCTGGAGCCATGCGACAACCCAGTGAGGCAGGCAGGGCAGGTATCGATGGCTCCCTGCTTACCTGGGTGGGAACCGAAGCTCGGAAAGCCGAAACCACTCGCTGAATGTCACACAACCATTCAGTCGGAGGAGCCCTGCTCTCCCGGCTGGGGCTCTTCCCAGTGCCCACTGCCGCCTTCCCAACCACAGGCCTCGGCCTCTGGGCCCTCACCCTCCCTGTCCTGTCTGCCTACCCCCTCTCCTGCACCCCCAGCCCTCACCGCCTGGTTCTGGGCTTTCCGGCCCCATGCCCTGTCCTAAAGGTCTGTCCACTCTTCCGCCCTGAGCCCCAGCTGGAGCCCCTCTGAGATCCTATCCCATTCCCCAGGCCCTGGTACCCACCGTGCAGGTCAGCGGCCTTCTGGTGAAAGTCCCGGGCTTCCTGATAGTTGCCGAGGGCACTGTGGGCCGTCCCAAGGTTTCTCAGCACCGTGGCCTCCTCTCCTGGCCCCCGGCACAGGGGCAGGGCCCGCAGGAAGGCCTCTGCTGCTAGCGGGAACAGTCGGAGCTGGGAGTAGGTCAGGCCGAGGTCGTTATAGAGCTGCCCTGGAGGGCATGGCCAGGGTCACCGGTAGCCAGGTCAGCTGCTGCTGATGCTGTACTGGTATGGCCCCTGTCCCACTCTCCTGGGGCCCTCCGCCCCTTTCCCCTGCACCCCACCTCTCAGAGCATCACCTGGGCTGCATATCCCCAGACCCCATGCCTCCTCTGCCCAAGGGCCTCACCCAGCAGTCCCCGCTCAGGGCTCCTCTCGGCAAGCCTCTGGCTCTCCTCCAGCACCTGCAGCACTTCAGCCACCCCATGCTGCCCGCTCTCTAGCATACACCCCGCCACAGCCCCCGCGGCCAGGGCTGCAGCCTGGGGCTGCCCTGCTTGGGCATAGGCCCGGCTAGCCTCCTGCAGACAGTGGACTGCTAGCTCAGGCTGTCCCAGAGCCTGGTAGCAGGCTCCCATTTTTGCCTGGGCTTGCCCCTCGTCGCCGAGTGGCCGGTAGTGACCCAGGGCCCTGTGGTACCAAGCCAAAGCTTGAGGCAGTTTGCCCAGGGCCTGGTAGGCCAAAGCCACGTTGAAACACTGGTCACCATGACACCCGCCCTGCGCCTTCTCTTGAGGTTGGGCTCGCAGGAGCAGCTCAAGGCCTCTGGCTGGGTCCCCAGTCTCCACGTAGGCGGCCCCCAGGTTGAAGGCACAGGCCCGGAGAACAGGGGTGTCCCGAGTTTGTGGGGCCTCAGAGGCCAGGATGAAGGCCCTCTGGAAGCTGGTCAAAGCTTCGTGGTTCCGGCCAGCCAGTAGGGCTCCGTGGCCAGCCCTGGTGAGGGCTTGGATGCTGGCCTCTTGCTGTGGCTGCTTTCTCTTCTTTTTCTTCTTGGAGGTTGAGGGTTCAGGCTCAGGCTCTTGGGGGGCATCCTCAGGGTTGGAGAAAGACATAGTGCTGACAATGGGGAGCAGAGGGGTCACTATGTCACCCTTGGCTTCCTCCAAAGCAGGATCCCTCCAGCGTTACTCAGCCCCACCCCTGCCCTGTTGTGACCCCAGGGTTTCAAGGGCTTCTCTCTGCAATCTTCCTCTGCTTCATCAATCCTCCTGGGGCCGTATCAACCCTTACTCCAATGTCCCAACTCATTCTTAGTCCTTTGGGACCCAGTTCAAGTAACAGCACCCTCCGGGGAGCCTCCTCCCTCGGCCACCTGGGTCCGTCTGGACTCCCAGAGCACCTATGCCCGTGTCTTTCACAGCATCGATCATGCCAGGTTAAAGTTGCTGACTTCCTGGTCTATCTCCTCTCCTAGATCTGGAGCAGCGTGAAGGGGCTGGCGCACAGTAGGTCCCCCGTAAATGTTCATCGAATGAGACGGACACAATGATGCAAGTGTACCTAAAGCCACTGAGCTGCGCACTTAGAAATGGCTTAGCAAGCTAAAAGTCGTGTTACATATATGTTACCACAATTAAGAAAGTCCTCACTGAAGGAATAAGTGAATAGACAGGTGAACAGAGTATGCAGAGCCTCTCTCCATCACCTTCACACTGTTCCTCCACAGACACCCACCCGCTCACAAGGACGGGTGCTCCTGCTGCCTGATCCCAAGGTGTAGATCAAGGCAGTCGAGCAGACACTCTGGTGAGCACCTGCGGTATACCAGGAGCCACAGGGCACTAGGGACACAGAGCTGAACAGGCTATTGAATTGGCAAGGAGTCAGCTTGGCAAGGAGGACGCTGTCTCTCCATTCACCACCCACGCCCTATCTCAGGGGACCTCTTTCTCCATGGCTGGCGAGTTCTGGTCCCCCAGCGCCCTGCTCTGGTCTCAAATATGCTTTTCCCCATTAAGATCTCTCCCCTGGAAAGGCAAAGCCTTTTCCTGAACTCTCCTCCCAGGAACCGGGGAAAGAGGTGGCAAAGACTCAGGCCTGGGCTCTCAGCCCCTCCCCTTTCCTTCGTCCTTCCCCTCTTTTTTAGGAGAGGCAGGAAGAGGTGATTCTCTTTTTAAAGAAATTCCCCCTGCAACTAAGAACACCTAGGAATCTTGCCTTCAAGGCCCTCATCCCTGGGGCATTCCTAGCTACCCCCACCAGGCCTTGGGGCCCCAGCCACGGGATGCCTTACCTCCCTCGATCTTCTCTGCGGCTGGCTTTCTGGAATGGTCCCTCTGGCTTGGGTTACCTCGCCAAGCTCTGAGCTCAGAGCCCTGGAGTTACCAGACAACCAGGTGCTGCCCTCCACTCCTAGGAATTTTTTGACGGACAGCTCAGGCGCCCTATCTTAGGGCTGCACCACTGGCCGTGGTCTGCAGTTACCTGGATTCCATCGCCCTTCCTGCCCCCACTTCCCTTCACCGCTGCGCACCTCTCAGTCCCCCACTGAAAGCAAGGAATCAAAGCGTGATGGCTTGTTACCAGTTACAACCTCAGGGATCGTCTGTCCCATACCCTCATTCTAGGGAGGAGGGGACCAGGCTCAGAAAGCAGGTGGGACCTGATGAGATCACAGAGCAGCTGTGCAGCTGGGATCAGACCCCCGGCTTTCTGATTCTAGGCTAATTAGCCTAGGGTTCCTTCCACTGCACTGTGGTTGCAAACTTTAATGAGGCCTGGGCGGTCCTAGATGTTAACCCTTCCACACACACAGACACACGTACAAGCGTGCACACACACACCTACGCACTGTGCTTCTGTGGGGTACATTTCACATTTGCGAGCAGGGTTAAAGGTTGGTGGTCATCAGAAGAGTCTCTTGGCTCCCGAATCCTTTCCCCGGCTCTGCTGATCCACAACCTCCACGCTCTGCTTGATGAGAGGCGAGCAGGCCCCAGGACGACGGGCACCTACGGCGCTAACTCACGAAGGGTGGCCTGCAGCACAGAGCAAATGTCCTCATTTACTGGCGGAGAGGTCTCTTTTAAGTAAGGAGGCCTTTGCCAGAAACAAAATTACAAGGAAGGGGGCGCCTGGGTGGCTCAGATGGTTAAGCATCTGCCTTCAGCTCAGGTCATGATCCCGGGGTCCTGGGATCGAGCCCCGTGCCAGGCTCCTTGCTCAGCAGGAAGCCTGATTCTCCCTCTCCCTCTGCCTCTCCCCCCCTGCATGCTCGCTCTCTCTCTCTGTATCTCTGTGTCTCAAATGAATAAATAATAATAATAAAAAAATTACAAGGAAGTCGCTAGACCCCCCTGCACTGGGCAGCCTTTGCTGAGGGCCTGCCGTGGGCCCTTACTGTGCTGGGTGCCACCGACAGGGCCCATGGCCGAGGTGGGCTTTCTCAGCTGCCCACGGGCTGGCCTCCAGGACACCACCAGAGCCTGGCCAGGGCCGGGCAGCTCAGCCCATGGCCACTCAGCAGGCTTCCCTTAAAGGGAGGGATTTGGGGAGGGGGCAGGGACTGAAACTAGGCTCGCCAGGTTCCGCTGACCTCTCAATGACCTAGGGAAAGGATCCCTAGGTCCTTTCTGAATCATCTGCTTGTTTGATTCCCACTTTATTTATTTTGTTTAGAGATTTTATTTACCATTTGCAACGACGTGGTTGGAACTGGAGGGTGTCACGCTGAGTGAAATAAGTCAATCAGAGAAAGACATGTATCATACGACCTCACTGATATGAGGAATTCTTAATCTCAGGAAACAAACTGAGGGTTGCTGGAGTGGGGGGGGTGGGAGGGATGGGGTGGCTGGGTGATAGACATTGGGGAGGGTATGTGCTATGGTGAGCGCTGTGAATTGTGCAAGACTGTTGAATCACAGATCTGTACTTCTGAAACAAATAATGCAATATATGTTAAGAAAAAAAAAAGAAGAAGATAGCCGGAGGGGAAGAATGAAGGGGGGGGAATCGGAGGGGGAGACGAACCAGGAGAGACGATGGACTCTGAAAAACAAACTGAGGGTTCTAGAGGGGAGGGGGTGGGGGGATGGGTTAGCCTGGTGATGGGTATTAAAGAGGGCACGTTCTGCGTGGAGCACTGGGTGTTATGCACAAACAATGAATCATGGAACACTACATCAAAAACTAATGATGTAATGTGTGGTGATTAACATAACAATAAAAATTTTTAAAAAAGATTTTATTTATCTATTTGACAGAGAGAGACACAGCGAGAGAGAGGGAACACAAGCAGGGGGAGCGGCAGAGGGAGCAGCAGGCTTCCCGCGGAGCAGGGAGCCCGATGTGGGGCTCGATCCCAGGACCCCGGGATCACGACCTGAGCCGAAGGCAGACGCTTAACGACTGAGCCCCTCTGGCGCCCCGGATTCCCACTTTAGGCGACGTACCTTGCTACTGTCTCCTCACTTGGCTTCCAGGCTCCACTGTGTCCTGGCCCCTGTTCTTCCCCTTTGCTGGGCCCTCTGTCCACCCCTTGAACACAAACAATCCCCACCCCTCTGCCCTTCGCTCTCTTCTTACTTTACAGACACTTCCACGAACCTTCCATCCACTGCTCTGATTTCCCCACCACTCATAAGCCAGCCATTTCTAAATGTAGATTCTAGACTTGGCTTGTCCACGCGAAATTCCCGTTTCCCCCCATCTACCCATCCCCTGTCCCCGGTGTTAGCCGGTCCACCACCAACCCGGTCTGTCAGGTGGGAGGTCCGTGACCCTCTCTGCTCCTGTGCTCAGCCCTGCCGCAGGCTCAGCCCCTGAGCCCTCTCCGCAGAGCCCCCCCGCCCATCCCGGCCGTGTTGCAGCAGGGAGGAGGCACAGCTGTGGGAACTGAAGCCTGGAGCCGCACTCTCTGAGTTTGTGTCCTGGCCGCACTGGTTTTTAGCTGTGTGACATTCCTGAGCCTCAGTTCCCTCGTCTGTATTATGAAGCTCAAACGAGATGAGGCTAAATATGGCTCCAGCATACAATAAACACTCAGCGCCTGTCACTGCAGGAGTGGTGCCTAACACGGCCGGTTTGCGAGAAATACATCTCCTCAGGCCCTGTATCCAGCCCCTGTTGCCCTGGATGGTGAACACAGTGTGAGTCAGCTGGGATTGCCCCCTCCTTTCTCCCACAGTGGAGGCCAAGTTGGAGGGAGTATGAGATGCTAAGACTTGAGAGGGAAGGCCCATCGGGTCCTTAGCCACCTATTTACAATCCACCTGGCCCTCTCAGCTCCAGGGGCCCTCAATCCAAGTAGAAGGGGGGTAGCTCACCCAGGTCCTTCCTTTCTGGCTGGGTTGGGGGTTTCTGTACATAAGGGCCTCATTACACAACTGTTCCCTGTCAGGGTCCTGGGCTGCCCAGGTCCTTCCCAGAAAGCAGGGAGTGGGACCTCGGTCACCAGGAGTCTAGATTCTCTCTACTTTCCTGCGTGGTGAGCAAAGGAGATCCCTTCTGGTCTCAGGGAACGCCCACCCCCTTCAAACCCCACATCTCCTTCCATTTTGTCTCAGCCCTGAGTCTCCTCTGTTCCTCTGAAGGTTTGGATATTTTCAGTTTTCTACCCTTTCAAATCTCTCCCCGGAGGCTAGGAGCCTAGGCTGCTTTGCCGCTTGACTGGGGCTTTGGTGGGTGGGAGGGAGGGTAAAAGGAGAGATGCCGGATGAGGGAGGCCTATTAGATAATACAGCAAAAAAAAATTTTAGGGCAGGTGTCATCATGTTTTTACTAGTTCAGACCTGCCTGTCTTTTGCCTGTGCTGCTACTGAAGGCGCTCCGTCGGTCTCTGCCCCTAGCCTCACCCTGCTCCAAGCCCCTGCTGCAAAAGGAGTCCTTGTAACATACAAACCTGGCCTTGACCTATGTGGAACGTGTCCTTCGGCTTGTGGCTGCTCCTCAGCCGGCTGCTGCCACTGGCCGTGCCCCTCCAGGCTCTCTTCCCGCCTCTCCCTGACTGAGCTCTGTCTGTCTGTACAACTGCACTGATTTTCATTTCCTGAACTCCCTTCTTGCTCTCACACGTGCTCTTTCGCTGACTGAAATGCCTCTCTCCTTCAGG